GGGAGAAAGAAAGAAAGAAAGAAAGAAAGAAAGAAAGAAAGAAAGAAAGAAAGAAAGAAAGAAAGAAAGAAAGAAATCTCTTTATGTAATGTGAGCTATTCTGCTTGGTGATTTCTCTCTTTCTCAAATATTATTTATATATTTAATATTTCCAGTATTTGTATAGAACCTACTGCTGCAACTCTTGGCAGTTTACAACCATAACATCAAAGCCACAGTACAGTCAACAACTTTCAAAAGCCACAATAAAATCCACACAATCCATTAATAATAAATAAAACCAGACTAAGTCCAATAGGGAATCCAATGCCACCCTTGCCTTGAATGCTTGCTGAAAGAAAACGGCCTTCATGGCCTTTCTGCATGCCAGTAAATATGGGCCAAACAAGCTTCAGCAGAAAGCAGTTTGGAAGTGTTGGGGCCACTACCATGAAGGACTTTTTTCACACCTGCATCCCCTTAATGTTACATCATTTCCCCTAAGCTTTCCCTCTCAGGATTCACAGAGAGGACAGGTGGATTCTAGTCAGAGAAGAGAGTTCTGAAGATGTAAAGAAGACTAACCGTTTGGTGCAGAAGCCCTGTAAGCTGTTACATCTGAATTGTTTTAATGACTGTGGAGGAACTCTGGGAAGCTACAGTTACATAATATGTAATATTTATTATTTGTCCTCATATGGTGTAAGTTTCCTTTCCTTTGTTAACAATAGTCCATAAAGTTCTGGGTGGCTGGGGATCGTGAGGACGGTAGTAGAGAATTGCATGAAACTATGATAGCTGGATGTAAAGTAAATATTTTAGATATGATGAGGAAGAAGGGAAATTTAACATGAGACAAATTTTAGTTCTAATATCCAGGATCCTTCCACAGCAAAAATCAGGGATGGAAACTGGGATATTTTATATGCAGAACCCAAGAATCATCCAAGAATAAATTGCATGCCGCTGCATTCAGGAAGCGCGAATCACATACATTTCCATTCAAATGGAAAGCAGCAACAACAGCAAAATTTCTATCCCTAAACTTTATGAAGTATGAGAATATGTCAAACAGCCCAGAAACATTCTCTTCCTTTGGCCCTTTTCTGTCTGTTCTGAAATGATTATTCATTGTTTTATTACATCTGATTTGTCTGGTATTTCTACCAGCTTCATTGACATGCTTTATTTATATTATGGTAGCTTTTCTATTTATGTAATGTATGCTTTTTGTGTGGGGTGATCAGAACAGGATAATAATTGTGTTTTATCAATAGCTGAGGTTTTCTCGTGATAGAATTGCTTATTATGCGGAGGGCTTCAGTAGCGTATAGATTATGAAGAATTGGACTGATCTCAATAAACTGGTCAAAAGTTATTCTTTTCATGATTGCCATGATTGTCCTGCCCGTAAGCAAAATGAACGAGCAAAAAACACCAGATAGATAAATCCTACCATTTTTACTTAGTTCTAGCTCATTTTTGCAATGGTTCATGAATGCTTTTTTTTTTTTAAACTGTCATTTCCCATTATATGATCATTCATTCTTGCAAGCAATTTTCCATGATGTATGATTAATTTTTTCTTTGTGGATTTATTGTCTATGCCCATTTGGAGAAATGCACAGCAAATGTCAGAGAAGAGCAAAAATGGATAATTACATATTCAGGAAATGTGACTTAGATCTGTTGGTAATAAAAAGTGAATTCAATGCATTTGTTTCTCAGTTGTTCGTATACTGTGAAACTACATTTAACAGTCATGTGCCCTTTCAGGAGTGACACTAATATAGCTTGTATCCTTAAGAGCTGCAGCTAATGATCTTTGCTAATGCATGGTAATGTTAGTTTACATATTAAATTTGTTTCCTCTGGAGATCCGCAGATTAGCTACTAAACTACTTAACGTTAGAAATGTTCCTTACCTTATTCCATTAAAGCTGTGTCTGCGTGAGAGTTCAGACTGCTTTAACAAATAATTCCTTTCGTTTTCTTTTCTTTAGCGCCTTGCTGAAGCAGCAGAGAGGTTCCAGAAAGAGCATCAGTGGCAGGATGAGTTTGTGGTGAGCTCAGGTTTTTATGTGACTTATTTTTCCAAGTATGGTTAGTTTACATTTTCTAATGTCTCCATTGATCGTATTAGTTACTGTCGTATACATTTTTCATTCGGTATGGTGTCTCAAGGGCATCCATGTGGAGAACAAAAAAGTCAAGATGCAGTTGAAGCCCATCCACGTTGTGACATGTGTAGAAAAAGGGACAGGGCTTTCATCACTTGGTTGCAGCTGCCGTCTTGACTTTTTTGACTCCCTTCCTCTCTCAAAGATACACAGTACATGCAAACATGCTTTCCTTGAAGAAAGAAAGTTAGGTAATTCACAGGCAGAGGAGATCAGCTGTAGAATTCATACTCGTCAGTTTGGGACTTAGAATTTAATTTAAGCTTCAACCCAAATAATGGATCATAATGTATTAATTATTGATTGTGAGATTTTCTACTTCTCTGTGAGATGGAAATGCGATTTCTTGGTCACAACGTACTCATTTGTTCACTGAACGGTTGTTCCTCTTTGACTGCAGCAGAAGTTCTTGAGGAATTTATACATTAGTATAAACTGCTAAGCAAGTGATATACATTAAACTCTTAGGAATACAGCCGATTCCTGAAATGGAATTAAAAGCTGATCTAAAATGCCATTGCTCCCATTGCACAGTCCTGCTGTAACTTTTATTTTCCTAAAGTGAGTCCATATTCTTTCATTTTGTGGATTAGAATGAAAGAAGATTCTTGAAATGGCTGGGATTCCCATCTCCACCACTGAAAGAGTAAACAAGGTAGAGGGCACTTAAAAATTGAAATAAAGGAGAGAAATTAAAACAAAAATCAGGAGAAAATTGCCTTGTTTCAAGGGATGAGTCATGTTTTATTTAATCCCAGAGGGATTAATTCGTACTTCTTGCAATCTATGGTTCTGAGTAACCATCTTCAGATCTATAATGCTTTCTTCTGCTTCTTTCTTTTATTCCTTCTCAATGCCTCTTTTTCACAGATTATTACTAGAAAGACCATTGGTTTATCTGTTCTAATTTTTGTTGTCACTGAAATACTCTTAACTTCATGATTCTGTTTAAGTTTATCTTTACTATTTCTCCTAGGATCATAGTTTTTCTTCTCCAGCATACTGTCTATTCCTGCTGTCAATCCTTAACAGCAGAGTACAACCCGGGAAGGAAGGTTCACATGAAGTTTCATTAATCAGATTTAATGTCAAGAAATAAAGAGTTAGGATACACAATCTTGGAAACTGAATAAGGAAAATTCCCATCTTCATTTATGAGTGAATTCATGAAAGAAGGGTTTCTGGGGTTGTTTGAAACTCCTTTTCTCCCATAATGTAAAGTTGAAGGACTAGCTCTCTTTTCCAGCTAAATCCAACACTGAAACATCCAACTGTTCTTTGTTTGTGATATTTTGAAATAGCTCTTTTCTTCATCACCCCAGTGAGCTCTCTTAGACCTATTACTGAGCCTAAGAGAACAAAACTCTCCATTAACTTCACTATGTCACTATCCATTGTGAATTCACTAAGCATATTGGTTAACACTACCTTCTCTTCTTCAGATGCAACATTAACCTAGATTTATTCTTGCCATTTTTACTTTCATAGCTCGCTTAGACTCTTTTACTTGCAGCTGACAAAGCAATATCTTCTGCATACTTCTGTTAGGGTTTCTGCTTCAAGTTTTGATTGATGCTGTCAACACTTCCAGTCCTCCCATTCTTCTAATATATTCATGGTATGAATCATTGTTTCATTTCCTTTCTTATTCTGAGCCATTCTATTTCTCCAAAGTTGGTTCTTACAGTTGCTTTATGTTCCTTGTAAAGGTCTTGAGACAAACATTAGTTTTAATTTATTTCACATTTTGCTGTGATCTCCACACTGCCATCATCAATAAAGCAAAGATAAGCCCTCTGCCTTATCTTCTCTTGATCTCACCATTATAATGTCTTAGGTCATCTATCGGAACTTGTGTCCCCTGCCTTTCTGAAATCTTTCTGTTCATTTGGCATTTTCCTCTTAGTAGGGTCTCAGACAAAACTTCACATGGGAGAAATTAATGGGATGGTTGGATAATCCATGTGTCCTCCTGAATCTTCCTTTTTTCTGGAGAGATATTATGCCCTGATCTCTTCCAAATGCTATGCACATAGTCTTGTTCCATATTTGTTGAATAGCTCTCATTACCATTTTCAGTGCCTCCTCTCCTGCAGCTTTAAACAATTCTATAGGCACTTCATCTCCTCTTAGTGCTTTCCCATTTGACAGCTGGTTTATTACCTCTTGTATCTTGCTTCATAGTAGAGCTGGTACCTGATTATATTCTCTCTGCAAGTGTTTCCATCAATTCTGCAGTGCCATTTGCAAAGCATTTCAGTGTAACATTTCCATCTTCCTTTAACCTCATTTGTCTCTCTAGGAGCTCTTCTATGATGACTCTTGAGTATTCCTGCTTTAGTTGCAAATTTTCCTGTGATTTCTCTCACCTTTGTAAAATCTCTCTTATTTTTCATTATTGTCCTTTATTTGTCAATTCATTTTTCTGAGTTCATTGTAGTCTGACAATGGAAGTCTTACTTAATACATCCTTTCTGTTGTGCAAGGATTTCATCTTCCATTTCTTCCTGGCTGTTGTGACTATTTATTCTGAAAGAAGCTGAGTTATTTTCTTCTTTGAAAATTTTGGAATATTTTTTTTCTCATTCCATTTAACTTATTTGACTTGAAAAAATCATGGTCTGTTCCACAGTCTGCATCTGGAATTGTCTCGTCTGACTGGATTGCATTTCCCCTACTCCTATTATATAGTCAGTTTGACTCAGATTTTCAGTTGTGATGTCCAGGTGTAGAATCCCTATTTACCTTGCTTGAAGCATGTGTTAGCAATAAACAAGGAACCCTAGTCACAAAATCCTACTAATCTAGACATTGCATTTCTGTATTTGTCCAACCCAAATCTTCCTGTGATTCCAAGTCTCTTCATTTCTCCAACTTTTTCATTCCAGTCAGCTGTTAGTAGTACTGTATTATTTCTTGATCTTGCATTTTGCACTTCTTATAATTTGCCATGAAGTTCCTTCGTACTTTCCACCATTGCATCATAGTTGCACATTATACACTGTGCACATCATAGCTGCACATGTATAACACTGATGTGCACTTTTAGAATGAGAGCTGTATTAATCTATGGTAGCCAAAAATCAGAAGGCATCTACTAGCAGATTTTCAGGCTAACAAATTTAATAGAAGGCAGAAGCTTTTGTGAGCTACGGCTTGCTTCATGAGATGCACGGAGTGGCTACACTGATGTAGAAGTTAAATTGGGATGAGGTGTGGGGGAAGGAGAGGAAGACAAGATAATTATGCAGATTATATGTGAGATGGAATGTATCTTATTAATTAGCAATTATAATTGGTTAAAATCCTATTGTGTTAGTTGAGACCTTGTGAGGTGGCCTGAAACTTTTGATGATCAGCAATCTCTCACACTCAATTGGGTTGGTAACATTTCTTTGTTCCAAAACAGCTACTTTGACATCTGAAATGGAGTGTCGTGGGTGGTTAAAATGCTCTGATTCTATCTTGTCTTTGTTTTGAGTCCTGCTGTCTAACTTATGTCCATTAATTCTTTTATGTAAAATCTGGCTCTTTGTGCTACATAGAATCCATGGGGTATTGCTGGCAGATGACGCCATGTATTTCGTTAGAGAAAGATCATATGAAGGTGCCTCTAATCTTGTTTGTGAAGCCTGTGATAGTGGGGACAGAGTAGGCACCTAGATTTGTTGCAGGGTCTGGCTCCCATGTTAACATCGTTGTTCCATTGTTTCTTGTTGCTTGTGAATATTTACTTCAGGTGGGATGATTGTATACAAGTATAGCAGTGGCTGAGATATCATTGTCCAGTATGGACTGTAGCTTAATATTAATATTATTAACATAACATAACATAACATAACATAACATAACATAACATAACATAACAAAGCTAACTAACATTAGCTTAATATTGTCTGGAATTAACATCGATCAAGCAGAAAACAATACCCTGGAGGACCTACCAAGGAGAAAACCCTACCCCCACCAACACAGGCTACTG